AAACAGGAAGACATACAGTAACAATGGGACGTCGGGGTCCTTGCAGTCTCCTTGTCAATTGTCAGGCCAGCAGTCAGTATTGTCTCCCAGTCGGAAGTCGGCTCATATGTCTGAGTCTGAGTTAATAGAAGCCGCGAAATAAGAAAAAGAAAACTGAGAATCTATCCCGATCGTATATGTACCTATTGTGATTGATAGATAGATAGATAGATAAATAGATAGATAGATAGATAGATAGATAGATAGATAGATAGATAGATAGATAGATAGATAGATAGATAGATATAGATAGATAATGTAATGCGCATTGAGCACTATTCAGGAAATGGAAATGCGCAGCATAAATGCTAGAGAGAGTGAGCGTTTGCGAGAAATAGGGACAGACAGATAAAGAGATATAAACATATGGTAGAGAACAGAGAAAATAAGAGAAAGAGAGAGAGAGAGAGAGAGAGAGAGAGAGAGAGAGAGAGAGAGAGAGAGAGAGAGAGAGAGAGAGAGAGAACAAGAGGATAGATTCTGGTATTTAATCATGTTTTATCCATCCCAGGTCTATTCAAGTCTCCAGATCGTCTTGGTGGTACAGTAATATGACGTTGGACCGTGGACCATTACCTGTCATTTTTCCGTTTATTCCTTTTATTCGGAGGAGGATCAAATGCAAAAAGATATCAAAAGCTCAGGTCACACTTATGAAATTTGGAAAAGCAGTGAGCCAAAAGCAGACGTGATCCAACAGATTGAACATTTTTTTAAAATGATGTTTGTAGTGGAATGGGTAGGGTCTCCAACATCTTTTTTTTTCTATACGAAAGACGTTGAGATATATTCGTGACTAAACTATTCTATTAAGTGTGGCAGCCTTTTTGCTGCTGCACTGCATCACACTGGTCTTTCCACGCTGACCCTAATGTGTAGGGATGTAGCAAACTTGTGTTTGCAATCAATCATCTTAAACACTTACGTGTAGACAGCCTCGTTGTTTTGCACGGTGACACCAGGTGTGAGGAAGAAATGACCCAGCTGACTATTGATCTTTTCGCTGAAGGTTACCAGAGGAAGTTGAGTGAAGTCCACACGGCGGGAGACCTGGCAAGCAACGTCTGTTGGGTAGAGTAATAGTATGTATAGATTGTGAAGCGCATAGAGCTTGCTGTTGAGCGGGGATTTGCGCTATACAAATGCTATTATTATTATTATTATTATTATTATTATTATTATTATTATTATTATTATTATTATTATTATAAATATTATTATTATTATAATTTGGACATATGCAGGACTTTGCAAGATAGCAATAGCTTTGTCATTAGCCTATGGACATTCCTGATCCATGAACATAGCATACTATTAAATCCTTAGTATATTTAGTGTACCAAGAGAAGGCTTTTGACAGAGTAAACCATGCAAAACTGGAAGACACTCGAAAAGTATGGCGTCAGAGGACAATTGTTAGATAATGTCAGAGCTCTATATACCAACAGCAGAAGCTCAGTAAGAACGAAGGAAGCAAATACAGACTGGTTCAAAGTAAGATCTGGAGTACGACAGGGATGCGTTCTATCTCCCCTCCTGTTTATAATATATATGGACACTATAAACCAAGAAGCAAACCAAAGCCCAGAAAGCCTAAATGAATTTCTGTTCGCAGACGACCAACGTCTAATTCATCATAACCAACAAAGCCTCCAAAATCACACTACCGAACTCAGCAACACCTGTGAGAAATTCAACATGAAAATAATCACATCAAAAACAGAAGTTATGAAAGTGAGCAGAAACCATAGTCCCCTGAACATCCATGTCAATAGTAAACAACTGAAACAGGTGAAAGAGTTTAAATATCTTGGCAGCACTTTTTCTGAAAACGGGTCCATAGACAGAGAAATATAAATGCGAACTCAAAAAGCCAACGCTGTCACCTACGAGCTCATACCCCTTCTATCTCATCCAAACATCTCCTTGGACACAAAGAGACAGCTGATCACCTCAATATTCATACCAACATTTTGTTTTCAGTGCCAGACCTGGACCATAAGCAAAACCCATGAAAGCAAAATCACCGCATGCGAAATGAAATGTCTCCGCGAAACATTTAACATCACAAGACGAGACAGGCAGAGAAATGAAGAAGTAAGAGCAGCTATCGGCCCTGAATCCTGCCTGCGTTACATAGAAAGACAGAGGATAAAATGGGTTGGCCACCTGTTACGCATGTCACCTGACCAGCCAGCCTTGAGAGCCTACAACACCAAGCACTCAGGCTATAAAGGAAGGGGAAGGCCACGCAAAAGGTGGATGGAGGTGTCAAGGAAACCCTAAGAAAACGTACCATCACAACTGAAAGAGCTGCGGAGCTGGCCTACCATAGAAAACTGCATCTCCTCTCGACGCTTAACGGCAACAGAGGATGAAAAAGTAAAAAAAGTAAAAGTAAGTATTTAGTGTACGGGCCTATGACTTTATTAGCCAACGGAAAATTCTGATCCACAGTATTGACGATGATGATGAATTAATGTTACGATATTTATAAGCACCTATAGCTTTGGTATTAGCCAACGGACATTTCTGTCTGATCAACAATTGTGGGCGGAGGTGGGGTGGG